GGAATTCCCTGGGAATCTCGGGACTCCAGGAAGGGTCTCCCTTCCCTTTCCCATCCCTGAATCCCATAAAAATCCCTTGGGATGGATCCTGAGTGTCCTCGATCCCGGAATCCCCAACACCTCCCACCACCCCAGGCTGCTCGAAGCCCCATCCACCCTTTCCTTGGATGCTCCCAGGGATTCTCTGGGAATTCCCTCCCAAGCTCCCAGCCCCAGCTCCCCTTTCCCAGTGGGAAGCCATTCCCTGGCTCCTGGCCCTCCCTCCTTTATCGCAAATCCCAGCTCTCCTGGACAATTCCAGGGAATTTGAATTTCGGATCCTTCCCTGAAGGCCTTCTCTGGATTTTCCCTGGATTTTCCCTGGATTTTCCCTGGATTTTCCCTGGATTTTTCCTGGACTTTCCCTGGATTTTCCCTGGACTTTCCCTGGATTTTCCCTGGATATTACCTGGATTTTCCCTGGACTTTCCCTGGATTTTCCCTGGATATTCCCTGGATTTTCCCTGGACTTTCCCTGGATTTTCCCTGGACTTTCCCTGGACTTTCCCTGGATTTTCCCTGGATATTCCCTGGATTTTCCCTGGATTTTCCCTGGATTTTCCCTGGATATTCATCTCCCGGCAGGAGGGGGCTGGACCGTCATCCAGAGGCGCCAGGACGGATCCGTGGATTTCAACCGGACCTGGAATGAGTACAAGGAAGGATTCGGGGATCTCCACGGGGAATTCTGGCTGGGCAACGACAACATCCACAGGATGACGAGCCAAGGGGATTATTCCCTACGGATCGACCTGGAAGACTGGAATAACAAACACAAACACGCCTTCTACCAGGTCTTCAGGTAAAAACCGGGAAAATTCCCGGGATTCCAAACCCCGGGAGACGGGAATTCCGCCTGGAGGGGTTTCCAGGCTGAGCTCAGCCTCTCCTTCCCTTTCCCTTAATATATTTTATTTAATTCTTTTCTTTTCTTTTCTTTTCTTTTCTTTTCTTTTCTTTTCTTTTCTTTTCTTTTCTTTTCTTTTCTTTTCTTTTCTTTTCTTTTCTTTTCTTTTCCTTTCCTTTCCTTTTCTTTTCCTTTTCTTTTCCTTTTCTTTTCCTTTTCTTTTCCTTTTCTTTTCCTTTTTTTTTCTATTTTATTTTATTTTTATTTTTATTTTATTTTTTATTTTATTTTATATTTTATTTAAATTTTTTTATTTTTTTGTTTTTATTTTATTTTTTATTTTATTTTATTGTATTTTATTTTATTTTATATTTTATTTTATTTTATATTTTATTTTATTTTATTTTATTTTATTGTATTTTATTTTATTGTCTTTTATTTTATTGTATTGTATTGTATTTTATTGTATTTTATTTTATTTTTAATTTGATATTACTATGTTTTATTTCATCCCGAGTTTAAAGTTGGATGCGAGTTCGGGAATGTGCGGCGTCATCCGTCCGCGCCCAAATTCCCAATCCGAGGGAAAAGTTGGGATCCAGTGGATGATCCCTGGCTTCTCCCGGGTTTTTCGGCTCCGATTGTTGAGCTCCGTGTTGGAAATCCAAGGATTTTCAGGGATTTTCCCCGGGAAGGGAATCCCGATTTTTCCCGCTTGGGATTTGGGTCCTCTCCGCTCTTTGATTCCCTGGAATCCTTCGGAACGTCCAGCCCTTCCCCTCTTCCCGGGTTTTGTTTTTCCAACCCCGTCGGCCGCATCCTGGATTATTCCGGAGTGACCTGGAGGGTCGGGATTGTCCCAGGGGATCCCCATCCCTGTTCCTGCTGGAAGTGCTCGTGGATCCAAAAATCCTGGAATGTTTTGGGTGGGGAGGGACCTCAAATCCCATCCCAGGGACACCTCCCGCCATCCCAGAGTGATCCAAACTTTCCTTGGGGATTGATCCCAGGGACACCTCCCGCCATCCCAGGGTGATCCAGACTTTCCTTGGGAATTCATCCCAGGGATTCTCCGGGAATTCCTTCCCAAGCTCCCAGCCCCAGCTCCCCTTTCCCAGTGGGAAGCCATTCCCTGGCTCCTGGCCCTGCGGCCCTTTCCCAAATCCCAGCTCTCCCGGAGCCCCTGGAGCCTCGGGAAGCGGCTCCCAGGATTTCCTGGAGCTCGGGGTTATCCCGCGGGATTTTCCTGCCCCAGCCCGGAGCCATCCCAGCAGCTCCCGAGGATCCCGGGAATGCTTTGGGTGGGAATTCCATCCCATTCCAAGCGCTGCCGTATCCCAGCCTGGGGCAGTGGGAGGTGGCGGGGTTGGAATGGGATCGGTTTAAGGTCCTTTCCCACCAAAACCATTCCATAATTCCACGATTCCACAGATTTTCTCCATCTCCGGGAGCGGCCAGATGCTCCTTAAGTGTAGAGCGCTGGAAAATTAATTTGAGATTTTTACTCATTTTATTTTATTTTATTTTATTTTATTTTATTTTATTTTATTTTATTTTATTTTATTTTATTTTATTTTATTTTATTTTATTTTATTTTATTTTATTTTATTTTATTTTATTTTATTTTATTTTATTTTATTTTATTTTATTTTATTTTATTTTATTTTATTTCATTTCATTTCATTTCATTTCATTTCATTTCATTTCATTTCAATTCATTTCATTTCATTTCAATTCATTTCAATTCATTTTTAATTTCATTTATTTTATTTTTAATTTAATCTATATTTAACTTATTTTAATTTAATTTTTTAAAAAATTGTAATTAATTTTAAATAATTTTATTTGAAACTGGGATAATCGGATTTGAAAATAGTAAATTATTATTATATATAAAAATATAAATAGATTTGTATATATAAATATATAGCAATTTTATATAATAGATAATTTGTATTATATATATAATTTATATATTATATAATATAATAATATAACATTATAATTATAATAATATTATTATCATTAATATAATATATATTATGATTATATATTGTATATAATATTCTAATTAATTCATATATAATAAGTAATAATATAATATTATGAAATATTATTTATATAATATATAAAATAATTATTATCTATAATATATAATTATTAATGATATAGTACAATTATAATTATTAATAATATAAATAATTATTACAATGGAATTATAAATACACTCACTATAATAAAAATAATTAATAATAGTTAATACTTGATTATTAATAATTCATAATTAGTAATTAATAATTAATAATGCATAATTAAGAATACATAATTAATACTCACTACTCAATACTTAATAATTAATACTTAATAATGGTTAATGGATAATGGATAATGGATTATGGATAAATAATATTAATAAATTTAATTAATAATTAATAATAATATACTTACAATTCCACTATCAATGAATTTCCATTGGGATTTTTCCCACGCCTCCCACGTTCCCCTGCCGCCTTTTCCCGCTCATCCCGAAATCCCCAAATTCCCGACCACACCCATCCCCAAACCCTCCTCATCCTCCCTGGCTCTTCCAGGCCAGCCAATCCCAACAAAATTCCCAGATAATCCCCAGGAAAGTCTCAGAAAATTCCCAGAAAATCCCCATGAAATTCTCAGAAAATTCCCAGAAAATTCCCAGGAAATCCCCAGGAAATTCCCAGAAAATTCCCAGGAAATTCCCAGGAAATTCCCGGAAAAATTCCAGAAAATTCCCCAAAAAACCCCCAGAAAATTCCAAGGAAATCCCCAGGAAATTCCCAGGAAATTCCCAGAAAATCCCCATAACATTCCCAGAAAATTCCCAGAAAATTCCCAGGAAAATCCCCAGAAAATCCCCATGAAATTCTCAGAAAATTCCCAGGAAATTCGCAGAAAATCCCCATAAAATCCCCATGAAATTCTCAGAAAATTCCCAGAAAATCCCCCAAAAATTCCCAGAAAATCCCTATAAAATTCCCAGAAAATCCCCATGAAATCCCCATGAAATCCCCATGAAATCCCCAGGAAATCCCCAGGAAATCCCCATGAAATCCCCAGGAAACCCCCAGGAAACCCCCGGAAAATTCCGGAACTTTTCCCCGCGCAGCATCGAGGACGAGGAGAACCTGTACCGGCTGCACGTGGACGGCTTCAGCGGCACGGTGGAGGATTCCTTCGCCTGGTACCACGACAAGCGCAGCTTCAGCACTCCGGATTCCGGGAATATCTGCGCCGAGATCTCCCACGGCGGCTGGTGGTACCACCAGTGCTTCTTCTCCAACCTCAACGGGGTTTACTACAAGGTAGGACCGGGGAAAGTTCCGGAACGGAAGATTCCGGAACCTTCTTCCCGCCGGGGATCGGAGGGGTGGGGAAAAGGGAAAACGTCGCGCTTGGGAATCGTGGAATTGTTCTCGCAGGGTGGATTCCGGTGTTTACGGAGATCCGCAGGGATTTAAATCCCTCCCGGAATGGGGGCTCCGCCGAGGCTGGAAAACCCTTTCCATGCGGGAATTATATCCCATGAACCTCCAGGCCGTTCCCTCTCATCCCACCCCTCATTCCCTGGGAGATCATTCCCGATTCCCGCCCGATTTCTCCGGAGCGGGAATAAGAGGATCGCCGGAGCGATCCGGCTTTTCCCGAGATCCCTCTGCTGGAATTCCATGGAAACCTCTGGAATGGGCGGCTCGGCCGCCAAAAATTCCAGCACCAGAGGGACTTTTGGGAAAAAAATCCTCGGGATTTCTGGGTGATTATCCCGAAATTCTCCGCTCCCAGATTTCCGAGGGGTGGTTTTCCCCCGTGATCCCATCCCAAAGATTCTTCCGAGGTTTTCTCCTTTCTCCGCTTCCCAGGGCGGCCGGTATTCCATCAAAAACCGGCGGATGCTGGGCCCGGATGGGATCGTCTGGTATTCCTGGAAGGACACGGACTATTATTCCCTACGGAAGGTGGTCATGATGATCCGGCCGCGCTCGTTCCGGCCCCGCCTCTCCCCGTGATCCCGGGATATTCCCTGCCCCACATCCCCGCGGAACGTTGGGAACGGAGGGTCGGGAAGGGGATTCTGGAAGGATTTGGCGGGAACGGATCCAACCGGGATCCGCCGATGTGGGAGATCTCCCGGGAGTGTGGAGGCGATTCCTGGGAAGAGCGTTCCCAAGGCCAAATCCGGTTAGTCGGGATGTTGGGAATCAGCTCCGAGCCGATCCCTGCGGAATTCCGCCGTCTCCAAGCCGATGGAATTTCCCGCGGGAAGCAACGGAAGCGATCCTGGGGGAGTTTTTCCACGTGGGATTCGATGGAGCTGCTGCTTTTATTCCCGAGGATTTGCGTCCCGCTCCCGAAGATCCCAAAGATCCGCGACAGCGGGATCGGCTCTGGGAGGAGCCGGGAGATCCGTGGCGCGTTCCCGGGGATGGAATCCCGGGAAAATGAGGACGGACGGTGCTCCACACCCGAGCATCAAACTCTGGGAATAAAAATATTCCAAAGGAAAAGATTCCAAAGGAAAAAAAAACCTGGGAATTTTTATTTTATTAATTTTATTTAATTATTATTTTATTTTATTTTATATAATTTTATGCTATTTTTTATTTTATTTTATTTTATTTTATTTCACTTAATTTAATTTAATTTTAATTTATTTACTTTAATTTATTTTATTTCATTTGTTTTATTTAATTTCATTTAATTTCTTTTCTTTTAATTTATTTTATTTTGTTTCAATTCATTTTATACCATTTAATTTAATTTAATTTAATTTAATTTTATTTTATTTTATTTTGTCTTTTTTTATTTCATTTCATTTCATTTCATTTTTATCTCATTTTATTTTATATTATATTATATTATTTTATTTCACTTAATTTCATTTCATTTTAATTTATTTAGTTTAATTTATTTAATTTATTTAATTTCATTTAATATTTTTTCTTTTCTTTTAATTTATTTTATTTTATTTAAATTCATTTTATACCATTTTATTTAATTTTGTTTCATTTCATTTTTATTTTAATTTCATTTTAATTTAATTTTTTAAAATTTAATTAATTTTAATTTAAATTTATTTTAATTTATTTAATTCCATTCCATTCCATTAAATCCCTTTTTCCTATTCCACCTTTCCTGAGGTGGAAAAACCGGATTTCTCCCTTCCAACCCTTCCCTTCCCTCTCGGTGCTCTCCCGGTGCCTCCCTCCAGCTCTCCCAGTCTGTTTTCCCTGGAATGCTGTTTTTCATGGAAAAATCCATGGACGAGTTGCCTTCCAAGCATCCCACAAATAAAGAATTCCAGGAAAATAAACCGACTTCCCTCTGGCTTTTCCTCGGAAGAATCCCAAGGGCTCCGGGTATTCCCAAGGCTCTCCCGGGTTCGTCTCGGATCCGAAGTTCCCGTTGGATCAGCGGCCACAATTCCAGGATTCTTCCCGGATAATCATTACCCTGCTGAAGGGTCAATTAATCGCTTAATAAGCTTCATTAATTCATTATTAATTAATTCATTAATTGTTCCCATCCCTGTTATTGATCTGATTTCCCACACGATTAAAATCGGCAATTCCCAAACTTTGGGAATCCCACAGGGCTGCTCGGGAAGGGATTCTCCCGTCCTTCCTTTCCCGCGGCTTTGATCCCAGGAGCAAATTCCTGCCTTTTATCCAAGCCTTGGGTTCCGGAAGGATCCCGGGAATGCTGGGAGCCGCTTCCCGAGGCTCCAGGGGCTCCGGGAGAGCTGGGATTTGGGAAAGGGCCGCAGGGCCAGTAGCCAGGGAATGGCTTCCCACTGGGAAAGGGGAGCTGGGGCTGGGAGCTTGGGAAGGAATTCCCAGAGAATCCCTGGGATGAATTCCCAAGGAATGGCTGGAGTCACCTAGGATTGGGATTGGGATTGGGATTGGGATTGGGATGGGATTGAAGATCCCTGGATCCCATCCCAAACCATTCTGGGATTCTGGGATCGAGGACGCTCAGGATCCATCCCGAGGGATTTTTATGGAATTCAGGGATGGGAAAGGGAAGGGAGACCCTTCCTGGAGTCCTGAGATTCCCAGGGAATTCCCAAAATTCCTTCTCCAGGAGGAGTCGGGATGGGGCTGGATCCAATCCCGGGGCTGGGAGAGCCGGGAATGCGCAGCCGGATCAGGGAAGGATCCCGGGAATGCTGGGAGCCGCTTCCCGAGGCTCCAGGGGCTCCGGGAGAGCTGGGATTTGGGAAAGGGCCGCAGGGCCAGGAGCCAGGGAATGGCTTCCCACTGGGAAAGGGGAGCTGGGGCTGGGAGCTTGGGAAGGAATTCCCAGAGAATCCCTGGGAGCGCCCGAGGCCGGGATTTGGATGGGACAAAAATGCTTCCCCAAATCCTCGTTCCTCGGGATTGCTCCGGCCACGGAGTTCGGGATAATCCTGGAATCATGGAACGGTTTGGATGGGACGTCACCTCAAGGCTCATCCCATTCCTCGGGCAGCGTCACCTCCCCCCATCCCAGGTTTTTCAGGAAGTGTGGATGGATCCCCGCCCTCTTTTCCCGGTCCCTTTGGATTCAGCCCCGGGAATCCCAAGCCCCTTCCCTGGATTTCTCTTCTCCCTCCCCCGTGGGAATCACCCACCCTCAAAGATTCCCAGGATCAGGGTTTCCTTAATCCCGCAGAGGATCGGATCCGGACACTTCGGATCCTCTGGAATGCTGCTCCTAAATTTTTGGGTGCCCTTTCCCAGCGGGGAAAAGGCGGGAAAAGATTCCTGGCGCCGCTTCCTCCCGGGAGCCGGAATTCCCAGGATCTCCTCCTGGCCCCGAGGAACGGCTCCGCTGCCGTCGGCTGTTCCATGGATACGCCGACGGATCATCCGGCTCCATCCCGGTTTTCCAGTTGGGGTCCGGATCCGGGATGGGAAACCTCCCAATCCCGCCCGTTTTTTGGGAAAAGAGGGAAACCAGCCCGAACTCCCACCCCAATCCTCACCCTCCGTCCTTTTCCCGCCCCGATCCCGAAAAAAATCCACACGGGAAGCGCCGCAGGGATCGTGGAAACGGAAGGAAAGGCCAAGGCAGTTTTATTTACATCCGTTGAGTACAAAAAGAAGGAGAGCTCGTGCCGCAATCCGCCCCCAATCCCGATTTTTTCCCCTTTCCCAGGAATCTCCCGGGGTCTCCGGGATCAGGGTGGGCGCCGGGAAAGAGCCGCGATTCCCTCCGGAGCCGGATGGGAGATTGGAATGTCTTATCCGGACACGGCCGAGACCGAACCCTTGGTTCGCCAGTCCGGGTTGGGATTTTGGGATGCGGGAACGCTTCCGGCCGGGAATGGAGGGAATTCCCACCCCTCCCGGAAAATCCAATCTTCCTTCTCCCGCCTTTCCCGGGAGGCAAAGAACCCCCGGGCAGATCCCAAAAAACATCTCTTGGAATGCTGGGTTTTTTTGGTTTTTTTTGTTTTTTTTTTTTTTTTCCCCAAGGGGTTCTCATGGATATTTTTCCCTGTTTTCCGCAGGGCTCCATCCCAGTTTTGGGGTTTTTTTTCCCCGAGTTTTCCCTCATTCCCTTCCGTCGTGGTCTCCACAGCCCCATCCCGGTTCCTCCCGCCGCTCCGTCTCCGGGAGCCGACGCTTTTCCAGCGGGATAAAGAGGGGGGGTTTTCATCCAAGAATTCCCAGCGGGATTTTTTTTTTTTTTTTTAGGGGGGGGGCAGATCCTTACAAAAAAACTTTGGGAATTCATGGGGGCTTGGGAAGGAGCCACGGGAGCCTCCAGCAGCCGGAAAAAACACAAAAACCTTTGGAGCGAGGGAATTTCCCTCCCCGACCGCCTCCGGCCGCGCTGGGAGGGCGAAATAAAATAATCCCGGCCGGATCTGGGGAGAGATCCCAAATCCAGGCGGGAACGAGGGAGGGAGGGAGGGAGGGACACCGGGAGACGCCGCAGCCCAGGGATGGGATAGTGGGAGAATGGGATGGGATAATGGGATGGAGTTGGGATAATGGGATGGGATGGGATTGGGATAATGGAATAATGGGATTGGGATAATGGAATAATGGGATTGGGATAATGGGATGGGATTGGATAATGGGATAATGGGATGGGATTGGGATTGGGATTGGGATAATGGGATGGGATAATGGGATGGGATAATGGAATGGGATGGGATTGGGATAATGTGATGGGATAATGGGATGGGATGGGATAATGGGATGGGATTGGGATAATGTGATGGGATGGGATTGGGATTGGGATAATGTGATGGGGTGGGATGGGATTGGGATAATGGGATGGGATAATGGGATGGGATAATGGGATGGGATGGGATGGGATTGGGATTGGGAAAATGGGATGGGATAATGGGATAATGGGATAATGGGATGGAGAAGACTCCAGAGGGATTCCTGCCCGCCCCCGCCTGCCCAGCACCAAATGAAAGTCACACACGACGCACATTCCCCACCATTCCCTCCCCACCCGCTCCGGATTCCCGGGGATTTCTCCCGGGAATTCGCCTCCTCAGCCCTCGGCCGTCCCCTCCGGACCTGGCTGACGGGTTCGGACATCCCGAAATCCCGCCCCAATCCCTTCCCTCCCCACCCTCCCCGGAACGACGACGACGACGACTCCGACGGCTTCGCCTCTCGACTCGTCACATCCACGAACAAAGAAAGCAGAGGAACGTCCACCATTCCCACACCAGCATTCCCACACAGCAGCATTCCCGCAGCAGCATTCCCGCACCGTTCCGACCTGGAGCTGCGGAAGCCTCCGGCACCTCCCCGGAGCTGTCAGTCCAAGCAGCGCCTCTTTACCTGGAGGCCTCTTCCTTCAGCTCCTTGTTTTTCCGCACTTCTTCCGCGTGTTTGTCCTGCGGGATCGGGAAGGAGGAAGGGAAGGAGAAGGGGGGAAGGAGGAGGAGGAGGAGGAGGAGGAGGAGGAGGGGGAACAGGCGTTATTCCAGGATTCCAGGATTCCGGCATCCCCACGGCCCAGCGGCTCCGGAGGGGCTTGAAGGCACGAGGTTGATGGCGAGGGACGCCGCCGGCGGCTCGGCGCCGTCCTCTCCTCCCCTGGGGTGGCTTTAAGGGCTGCTGGTGGCACTTGGGGACACTTTGTCCTCGCCCTCTCGGCTACGAGGGAGACGTCCCGGGAAGCCCCCTGGAGCTGGGATTAGCTGGGATTTTCCGGCATTATCTGGCGCTCTCCGCCTCTGCCCCAGCGGAGGCGTTCGGAGAAGGGCACCGGGCGGGCTCCGGATGTTTTGGAGGGAGCTGGAGGTGGTGAGGAGGGTGGGATTTTCCGTGCGGAGGTTGGGAACAGACCTGATTCGGGAGAAAGAAGAGGGCTGGAAGGGGTGGGAAGGGCTCCCGGCACGGAGCTGGGGAGCTGCCGGATCCGTGGGAAGGAAACGCGGGAAGATCCGCCAGCCCGGAGGTGGGAAAAGTAACTGGGGAGCGGCGGGAATTCTGGGATGGAATTCCCGGAGCAGCTGCGGTGGCTGCTGGATCTCTGGAAGTGCCCAAGGAAAGGTTGGGTGGGGCTTGGAGGAATCTGGGATAGTCCAGGGAAAAGCTGGGAGGGATCTGGGATATTCCAAGGAAAAGCTGGGCAGGGCTGGGAGGGATCTGGAGGTGTCCAAGGGAAAGTTGGAAGGGGCTGAGAGGAATTTGGGATAATCCAAGGAAAAGTTGGGTGGGGCTGGGGGAGACCTGGGACAATCCAAGGAAAAGCTGGAAGGGATCTGGGATAGTCCAGGGAAAAGCTGGAAGGGGCTGGGAGGAATCTGGGACAATCCAAGGAAAAGCTGGAAGGGATCTGGGATAGTCCAGGGAAAAGCTGGAAGGGGCTGGGAGGAATCTGGGACAATCCAAGGAAAAGCTGGAAGGGATCTGGGATAGTCCAGGGAAAAGCTGGAAGGGGCTGGGAGGAATCTGGGACAATCCAAGGAAAAGCTGGAAGGGATCTGGGATAGTCCAGGGAAAAGCTGGAAGGGGCTGGGAGGAATCTGGGACAATCCAAGGAAAAGCTGGAAGGGATCTGGGATAGTCCAGGGAAAATCTGGAAGGGGCTGGGAGGAATCTGGGACAATCCAAGGAAAAGTTGGGCGGGGCTTGGAGGAACCTGGGATGGTGGAAGGTGCCGGGGGTGGAACTGGATGATCCTAAAAGTCCCTTCCACCCCAACCATCCCGGAATTCTACAATTCCTGGGATTCCGTGACACGGGAAAAGGAAGATCCCAACTCTCCGACCTCTCCCAAACCTCCGGTTCCCCCCGGGCATGACCCACCCCCCAAAATCCCAGCGGGATTCCGCACCGGGACGGGAACGGAGACGGAAATCGGTGGTGGCACCCCAGGAGGCGCCGTTATCCCGAATATCCCAGCCCATCCCGAATATCCCGAATATCCCGATCCCTTTTCCCGGCGCCCACCTTCTCCTGGAGGCGCTCCAGCATGGCGGCCAGGTGAGCCTCGCGGTTCTCCTTGTTGGATTCCATCTTGTGCGCCAGCTTCTCCTTGGCCGTCTTGATGAAGTTGTTGTTCTCCTCGATGGCCTTCTGGATCACCTCCCGCTCGTGCTCCCGCTTTTCCGCCAGGTGCTTCAGCAGCTCCGCCTCCTGGTACTGCGGACACCGCATTCCCGGGATAAATCCAACCCTTCCCGGGCCGGGAAACGGGGGGGGGGGAATTCCCCACCCTGGAATGGGGGGGGTTGGGAGTGCTGGACCCACCTTTCTCCTCTCCTCGGCCGCTTCCAGCTTTTTCTGGATCTCCTCCAGGGAAGGGTCGCGGCGGCGGGGGAGGGAGGCGTTGAATTCGGGAATTCCGTCGAAGGAGGGGGGTTTGAGGATGACCTCGAAGGATTGGCCCGAGGTGCGTTTGTTGAGCTCGATCACTTCCATGTCGGAGATGACGCACCAGGTCAGGTCCACCGTGTCTGCCGGAGGGGAAAAGGAGCGGAGTGAGCGCCGGGAATTCTCCTTCCGGGATTCCGTTTTTCTTTTTTTCCCGGGATCCGTGAGGTTGGTCCCGGTTTAGCACAAGTGTTTTCCTGGGGTTTGGGGATGGGGCGGAGGAGGGGGGGTAGGAATTCCAGGATTCCTGTGGATGGAGCTGGGAATATCTGGGAGAGCTGAGGGTTGGGAATGTCCCAGGCTTCCTGCTTTGGGAAGTGGGAATGATCCCTTTTCCCGTGTAAATTCCCCTGGGAATGGCCTCTGGACATGGATCAGGCTGGAAAACGTGGAACCCACACTCCGGGATGAAGGAATGAAGGGTTCCCAGAACTCCTCTGGATCCCAGCCCATCCATGGAGCCAGGTCAGGAATATCTGGGAGAGCTGAGGGTTGGGAATGTCCCTGTCTCTCCATGTGTCATTGATTTGGGAAGTGGGAATGGGACCCTGATCCCTTTTCCCGTGTAAATTCCCTTTGGAATGGCCTCTGGACATGGATCAGGCTGGAAAATGCAGAACCCACGCTCCGGGATGAAGGAATGAAGGGTTCCCAGAACTCCTCTGGATCCCAACCCATCCATGGACCGAGATCGAGAATATCTGGGAGAGCTGAGGGTTGGGAATGTGGGAATGGGACCCTGATCCCTTTTCCAGAGTAAATTCCCTTTGGAATGGCCTCCAGACACGGATCAGGCTGGAAAACGTGGAACCCACGCTCCGGGATGAGGGAATGAAGGGTTCCCAGAACTCCTCTGGATCCCAGCCCATCCATGGAGCCAGGTCAGGAATATCTGGGAGAGCTGAGGGTTGGGAATGTCCCTGTCTCTCCATGTGTCATTGATTTGGGAAGTGGGAATGGGACCCTGATCCCTTTTCCCGTGTAAATTCCCCTGGGAATGGCCTCCAGACATGGATCAGGCTGGAAAATGCGGAGCCCATGCTCCGGGATGAGGGAATGAAGGGTTCCCAGAACTCCTCTGGATCCCAACCCATCCATGGACCCAGATCGGGAATATTTGGGAGAGCTGAGGGTTTTGGGAAGTGGGAATGGGACCCTGATCCCTTTTCCCATGTAAATCCCCCTGGGAATGGCCTCTGGACATGGATCAGGCTGGAAAACGTGGAACCCACACTCCGGGATGAGGGAATGAAGGGTTCCCAGAACTCCTCTGGATCCCAGCCCATCCATGGAGCCAGGTCAGGAATATCTGGGAGAGCTGAGGGTTGGGAATGTCCCTGTCTCTCCATGTGTCATTGATTTGGGAAGTGGGAATGGGACCCTGATCCCTTTTCCCGTGTAAATTCCCTTTGGAATGGCCTCTGGACATGGATCAGGCTGGAAAATGCAGAGCCCACGCTCCGGGATGAGGGAATGAAGGGTTCCCAGAACTCCTCTGGATCCCAACCCATCCATGGACCCAGGTCGGGAATATTTGGGAGAGCTGAGGGTTGGGAATGTGGGAATGGGACCCTGATCCCTTTTCCAGAGTAAATTCCCTTTGGAATGGCCTCCAGACACGGATCAGGCTGGAAAACGTGGAACCCACGCTCCGGGATGAGGGAATGAAGGGTTCCCAGAACTCCTCTGGATCCCAGCCCATCCATGGAGCCAGGTCGGGAATATCTGGGAGAACTGAGGGTTGGGAATGTCCCTGTCTCTCCATGTGTCATTGATTTGGGAAGTGGGAATGGGACCCTGATCCCTTTTCCCGTGTAAATTCCCTTTGGAATGGCCTCTGGACATGGATCAGGCTGGAAAATGCAGAACCCACGCTCCGGGATGAAGGAATGAAGGGTTCCCAGAACTCCTCTGGATCCCAACCCATCCATGGACCGAGATCGAGAATATCTGGGAGAGCTGAGGGTTGGGAATGTCCCTGTCTCTCCATGTGTCATTGATTTGGGAAGTGGGAATGGGACCCTGATCCCTTTTCCCATGTAAATCCCCCTGGGAATGGCCTCTGGACATGGATCAGGCTGGAAAACGTGGAACCCACACTCCGGGATGAGGGAATGAAGGGTTCCCAGAACTCCTCTGGATCCCAGCCCATCCATGGAGCCAGGTCAGGAATATCTGGGAGAGCTGAGGGTTGGGAATGTCCCTGTCTCTCCATGTGTCATTGATTTGGGAAGTGGGAATGGGACCCTGATCCCTTTTCCCGTGTAAATTCCCTTTGGAATGGCCTCTGGACATGGATCAGGCTGGAAAATGCAGAACCCACGCTCCGGGATGAAGGAATGAAGGGTTCCCAGAACTCCTCTGGATCCCAACCCATCCATGGACCGAGATCGAGAATATCTGGGAGAGCTGAGGGTTGGGAATGTGGGAATGGGACCCTGATCCCTTTTCCAGAGTAAATTCCCTTTGGAATGGCCTCCAGACACGGATCAGGCTGGAAAACGTGGAACCCACGCTCCGGGATGAGGGAATGAAGGGTTCCCAGAACTCCTCTGGATCCCAGCCCATCCATGGAGCCAGGTCGGGAATATCTGGGAGAACTGAGGGAGCTTCCCAAGCCCCTCCGGATCCCAACCCGGCAGAATTCCCAGAAAAGCCCGGAGGCGCCGCGGAGGTCCCAGAATTCCCGGGGTTGGGAAGGGGGTCCCACCTTCGTAGGCGTAGCTGGGCTTGTTGAGGGGATCCGATAGGAAGCAGGAGCAGAAGAGGGAGACGAGCGGCAGCTCCTTCATCTTCTCCTTGTAGGCTGGGAAAAGACAGCGGGATCGGGATCCGAGGGACCGGGATCCGCCGGGAAAGGCTCGGGATGGGAGGAAAAGGGATGGAGGCGGTTCCCGAGCTCCAGGGAAGGGGTGGGATCGGGATCCGAGGGGTTGGGGTGATTCCGTGTGCCAGGGAGAATTTGGGATTGGAGTCAGAGGGATGAGAGGGCTGCCACATCCCAGGAAAAGTTTGGGATTGGGGTCAGAGGGATGAGAGGGCTGCCACGTTCCAGGAAAAGTTTGGGATTGGGATAAAAGGGATGGCGGAGCTGCTACGTTCCAGGAAAAGTTTGGGATCAGGATCAGGGGGATGGGAGAGTTCCACATTCCGGGGAAGGGGTTGGATCGGGATCAGGGGGATGAATGGGTTCCCCCATTCCAGGGAAAAAGTGGGATCGGGGAAAAAGGGATGGGGGAGCTCCATGTGCCAGGGAAGGGTTGGGATCGGGATCTGAGGGATTTCCACATTCCAGGAAAAGGCCGGGATGGGGATCTGAGGGATTTCCACATTCCGAAAACAGGCTGGGATGGGGATCCGGGGGATTTCCACATTCCAGGAAAAGACTGGGATGGGATCTGAAGGATTTCCCCATTCCAGGGAAAGGCTGGGATCAGGATCCAAGGGATTTGCACATTCCAGGGAAAGGCTGGGATCAGGATCCGAGGGATTTGCACATTCCAGGAAAAGGTTGGGATCAGGATCCGAGGGATTTCCACATTCCAGGGAAAGGCCGGGATGGGGCCGGTGTCCGTCCCCAGCTGTTCCAAGCGGGACGAGCTGAGGATCCGGACGTGCAAAGGGAAAAGGGGAAGGACTTGGGATTGCCCCGGGCTCTCGATCCCGGTTTGGCACCACCGGAATTCCGGGAGCACGCCGGGGCAGGGATGAGGCCGGGGAAGGCCGGGATGGGGCGGCGGGGTGGGCGTGTCCTACCGGCCAGAGTCATGGCGAGGAAATCCTTGGAATTCTGCAGGAAGAGCGATCCCGGGGCCTGCGGAGGGAAGGAAGGGATCAGCTCGGTGGGGGGGGACGGGAATGGGATGATGGGAACGCGGTGGGATAACGGGATAACGGGATAACGGGATAACGGGATGGGATAATGGGATAATG